GAGATGGTTCCAAGAACTAAAAAATTATTGCACTTTTTTCAACTGAAGATTGTTTCTTCTGTTTACGCCTCTTCATGAAGTTCAATGAAGAACCAGTATTTCAAAATAAATACATATTATAATTTTAAATTATTAAATGATAAGAACGAAAGGACAGGATTTAAGGTTAAACAGATTTTGGAATTATAATTATCAATTTAAAATTTTGTAGAAATATATGTATATAATATCTAAGATTTAGATTCTATAATTATTTATTATTTTATTATTTTGAAAAGGTTGTACTAGTTTTAACTAAATGTAATGTAACGACTCGTGTGATTTTAAGCCCAATATTTGGGCTGATGGTGGGCTTACTCCAAAATTTCTCAAGATATATATTATAATTTTTAAAATAATTAAAGTTTCCCATGTTCATAATATTATTATTATTATTCTTTAACAACAATATGAGAGAGCATTACATTTATATAGTTAAAGATTTACAATTAATGAATGCAGAAACTTTGTTCTAAATTACAAGTTTAACATTGTCTCCTTTAATACATTAATTCATTCTCATTCTCCATATTATTCAAACGCAACAAGTTTTCCTTTCTTATCGGTTTTTTTTTTTTTCACTTTCTAAAATAATCCTCAACCATTACTCTATGCAAAAATACATAATTTTTCAAACTAAAATTTTTAATATATTCTAAAATACTATGAAAAATATGTTAAAATACAATAATTTCCTAAATAAACATACCATTAACTTTATTATAATATTAATATAATATAATTTAACTTTGTTTATTATTAAGTTTTGAGACAAATTTCTTAATATTGATATTTTATATCATAATATGATATTTTTAAATATCTTTTTAGTTTTAAAAAATATTCTATCACCATATAAAATATTTCAATTCCATTATAAATTTTCATATAATTGATGATAATGATACGTTGTAATTTGTGACACAAAGTTATACTAATTTTTCAATCTATAAAAATGATAATTGATAACACGTATTTAAACTTATTTTATATTATTTAATGTTAGTGAGTTTATTTATAATAGTTTTCTTAATTAATTTTTAAATATATTTTAAAACATAATAATTTAAAAATATTTTTCTTTTTATTTAATGTATTAACTAACTATAAAGTTATTTTCCTAATTTGTGTGTCAAATAAATGATTTTTGTAAAATATAACGTTTTTATTTGTAAATTATTAATTATAAATATTTTATTATTTTCAATGTTTATATTCTATATTTATATAAACCGACGTATGTTTACAAAAATAACTTAAAAACATATTTACTATATATATATATATATATATATATATATATATAATAATAATCGTTATTTTTTTAAAATATGAAGTTTGTTAATTAATTAATAAGTTGATGATTATATTATCTGTTTTGATTAGATAAAATTATAAACATAATTAACATTTTAAAATTGTACAGTATTTCATGGATAATCATGATTACTAAATAATAATAATAATTATTATTATTATTATTATTGTAATTGATAACAAATAATAATAATAACTATTAATAATTAAAAACAATAAATATATTTAATTAATTTTAATTTTTTAAATTGAAAAGCCTTCATAGCTCAGTGCTAAAGCATCAGTCTTGTAAGGTGAAGATCCATGAAGACTTATTATATTAATTAATAAATTTATGATTTAACATTATATAATTTTTTGATAAATAAAAAAGTCTTTATAGCTCTCTATATTTACAATAATAATTAACTAAAATTAATAATATGTTTTATAAAGTTAAGTTGTTATAAGTTTTTTTTAATAAATCAAAAAGCCCCTATAGCTCAGTGGTAGAGCGTCAGTCTTGTAAACTGAAGGTCTGTAGTTCGATCCTGCATGGGGGCAATAATTAAATTAAATTTTTATTTATTTAGATATATTTAAAAAAAAAAATTTATAATATATTATTACAAAGGAATGATTATTTAAAAAAAAATAACAAATATTTTGTGTGCTTTAAAAAATCATAAAAAATAACACCTATAATAACAATTATAGAAAAAAATATAAATAAAGGTAATATTAGTTAAAAGTAGGAAATTAGAACATTTATATAAAACACTTAATTTATTACCAATCACAAGAAAAATATAAAAATCTAATATATAAAAATTATTTTAAACATATAATAAAATTATAAATATAAATGTAAATTATTGTTATCAATAATATGAATCTCATTGTGAACTAAGGATTAACACTATGAAATAAGTCACTTAAATAAATAAAGAGAGAAAAAATAAATATGGTAATAATGTAAATACGAAAAGAAAGATTTAAACCAACATAGCATAGCTCGCTCAGAAAGAGAAAAAAGAACGTTAAAAATGAAGTAAAGATGATGTTAGTTAGAGGGAGAAGAAAACTTGAAAAGCTTAAAAAAATGACACAATAACAAATTACGGAGAAATAAAAATATTGAATGTCCAAAAGATGAATTTCTTCACCGATTTGGTGTGAAGATGTGATGTTTGATGCCCTGGAAAATTGAATTTGTGATTACTCAATAAAGGTGATATTTCATTAAAACTCCTTATTATGATGTGTCATTTTCATATCTTGTATTAATTAATTCTTTTTCTTATGAACCATAAACTTTGATTAGAAAATATAACTTATATTTTATTAAAAAAATCTCTAGCTTTTAAATTATTGAAGATTATTTAAATTCATTATTATTAATAAAATTTTAAATTAAGGTGCATATAGTTGACGAGTACGAAAATAGAAATGGAAGAATTTTTACTTGCTTTGATAAAGGAAATTTTAGGTGTTGTATTATGTGATAATTTTCTTAAATATTATAGGACTTGAATATGATAAGGTAAGTTATTAGATTCGTTAATTATAAATGAATTTAATGATTTAATTTATTTAATTATAGCTAATTGATTAGAAGACATAATTTATATTGTTGAAGTAGAATATTTTGTTTATATTCATAAAAATATATGTAATAATTTAAAAAGTTTATTTTATCATGCTTCAATTAACTTCACATCATATGTTAATCGTGTTAAAAGTGAATTTGAAGGTAATCAATATATGGATTAATAAAAATTTCACTAAATTATTTTGGTTGTCGAAGAATATATTTTCAGAATATAATATATTATCCAATTATAATTATGAAGTAAATAAAATAATTTGTTGAATTTATATAAAATATAAAAAGATATTATTGGATAGAACGGAGGACGACAATACGGTATTGTCTTCCTCTTCCTTATTTAGAAAGGGAAAAGATTGTTTAAAATATTATTTTATATGATTCAATTATACCACGTAATCTTTAAAGGGAATTATAACTTAATTATTTCAATTCTATACTTTTTCATTTAACTAAAAATGAAAGAAATTATGAAATTGAAATAAAAATAAAACCTAAAGGATAAAATAATAAAAGAATAATAAAATAATACTAAAAATAAACAAATAGTCTCTTATAATATAAATTGTCTTAACTATAATCACTAAAATTCCTATATACTAATGATTAAAGACTTTCTTTCTTAATAAAAATAGATAAAATTAATAATCTATATAAAATACAAATAATAAATGAAGGTATTTTATGATACATTTTTCTTCCATTTTTTTCTTTTAGTAGGTCTAATATTTTTTACCATTGTAATAATTTTTTTATTAGATTTTTTTTTGTTAGAACTGGATGAATTTCGGACAAATGTTTGAAAAAAATGAGTTATAAATATATATCATAACCCATTTGGAAATTGAGTATTCTAAGATTGTATAGTAGTTGATTTTATTAACTCTGTTTTCTTTTTATTTCATTGCTTGCATTGCTAATGAATGATTTTGTTTTTTATTTTGATACTTGTAATTATAGATTTTTAAACATGTCACTCATAACTTAGTATTAATTTATTAGGGTCATGATTACATTCTTTTTCTGTTTTATACCATAGTATTTGTGTGAATTTTTTACCTAATAAAAGAAATTTATAAATCATAATTTTATTAAAATAATGTTTAATCAATTGCAATTTATAATAAAATATATAGTTTAAATATTAAAAAAGACAATTCTAAACAATAACGTTTTTGAAAATAAAAAATATTTCACCCAATTTCATTTATATAATTTTTTAAAAATAATATAAAAATATAAATAAATTTAATATTGAAGAAATTCAAATTTACTTAATTTATAAAATCAGTAAAACATAAAAACGAACCTAATAAATAATCAATTTTGAAGTATAAAGAATAATAAATAAACAATCCTCTTGAAAATTACGACCATCTATTGACTGTTTTTATTAATATTTGTGAAAAATTAATAATTTTTCAGTCTTTAAAAATATTTAATTTGTTCTCTTTTTCATATTTTTTAGTTTTTTAATATATAAATCATAATAATTATTTTTTTTAAACTATAAAATTTTTATATTTATATTTTTATTGCATTATGAAGGAGAAGGATAAATATTTAGAGAAAAAAAATTCAGTTATGAGTGGTCTTTGAATCAAACCTTTGTTGCATAACCTTAAGACAGATTGGATGAACATACTTTCATCTAATAAATTTAACCTTAAAACAAGAACATAATTAAAGGCTTCATTATGGCAGTTATAATTGATTGGAAAGCATTAAAAAATACAAAGACAAACTTGTTATTTAGACGGAAAAGCAAAAAGAAAAAGAGAAAGAAAAACACTGGAAACAATGAACACAAGAAAACCAAAGCGACAGATAACAATAAAGAAAAAGAAGATGGCATGGTTCAAAGTTAGCATCAGCCAAACAAAGTCTAGGTAAATACGGCGTCGTCGAGTCGACCCCTCCGTATCCCTGACGCCTTATTTTCGTAGACTTTAACGGCTCTTTTTCGAAAAACACCCGTCATTTTCTGACCTTTGGCACTTTATGTTCTTTTTCTTTTTTTGTCTATTTCACACCAAAAGTAACCCAAACGCCGTCATCACGGCTTCGAAACGGAGGCAGCGTCCTTGACGGCGCCGTCGTTTCCAACCACGGCCGACTGCACGGTCAGCACGGACATGCTCGGAGACGAAGGGCCCTCGCCATTGGTCGCCACGGCGGGGTTGGCGTGGGTGCCGGGGGCGGCGCCGGTCGGAACCTGGGTGGTGGCGGAGGCGGCATTGATCAAGGGGTTCCTGGTGTGACACGTGGCAGTGGAGATGGCAGTGGCCAGGGAAATGGGCATGAGGCAAAGGCCCTTGCCTTGAAGGTACTGCATGGCGGAACCCATGTCCTCCTCCATCAGTTTCGCCACCTGGTGCTCCGTCATGGTGAGGCTGTCATTTGAGGTTGACGCTGGCGTTTGGTTGTTGTTGCTGCTGGAGTTCGGCCCGAGGGCCCCGCCGCCGTTACTGTTGCAGTTCGCTTGGATGCAGTCACCGCCTCCCTGCAAACACAACCCGTCACGTGACCGTCGGATTTTGACGGAAAGTGAAAAAAGAAAGGCGCGTGCGTGCGAGGGAAAGAGAAGGAGAGAGAGAGAGAGAGAGATGGGGAATCTGAGAAAGTGGGTACGCGTGCTGCTTTTGGATTGTCGTTTTGTGGTGATTGAGAATTGAAATAAGCCAAAGGCAAGTGAAATGTTGGGTGGGTTGGTGGGGATGTGGGAAAGACTCGTCTATCCGACATGTTGATTCATGGTGCGCAGTGTGTTCCACATTTTCTTCATTACTTTTTTTCTTGTTATAGAAACCCTCATGTTTTCCTTCAATTTTATCCTCTCAAAGTTTGGTTTATTATGGTAGTACGGCAAGCTAATAATTTTAAAACAACTGAGAGTGTGGAATAATGTATGGTAATAATGTATGAAATTTTCAAATAATTATAATCAGGGCATAAGAATTTTTGGTTGGTGGGTTTATTGGATTGCGAATGAAAATGGAAAAGGACTCGTATAGTAATAACCTCAGATGACATATCAGCAACAAGGGGTGCGACAGCTGCTGCACCGCCCAATCTGCTCATGCTCAGAACCTGTAACCCAAACAGTGACACAATTTTATTTATTTATTGAAGACAGAAGAGAGTGGAATTTAATAACCAGAAGTCCATGCTTGGAACCTTTGATTAAAATATGACATTAATTGATGCTGCTGAGGAACAAAATCAAATTAAGAAATAATAGTACTAGAGGAAAACGCGGGAAGCGCACCTTGACTTGGAGCTGCAGGAACTTCACGTAATCGATGATCTCATCTAGCATGGATGCCTTGTCTGTCTGTCATTCCACAAACCAAACAAATATTTCAATTAGGGATTGACCCATTTATTCATACCATATAATAACAATAATTTTGCTTTTCATCTTTTTTTATGCCTACACTACCCCTGCATATCACACACAAGTCAGAATAGCAACCCTTCCTGGTCCCTACCGTGACCAGTGATCATTGTGCGATGTGGGCCCTAATCCCTCTGCAATCCAGCTTAGTATTTCAAGTACGCACGGAATCGTATGATGAGCGGGCAAGACAAAGGCTCACAGCGCCTCCGTAGCGCGACGTTCCAACCATTCTTTTCTTTCCAGTTTCCATGTTACACTAACATGGAAATACACCATAGTAACATCTACCAAGCTTGTATAAATATAGGAAAATGACATTAACAACTAATATATTTTCTGGAGATGACCCATTTGTCCCTACATTGCACACTAAAACTAGTTTTAATGCGTTGCAGAAAAGTGGTTATCGTGTGACCGATTATTGTGACTTCTGTTTTAATTAACTTGAATTAGAATCATAAAATATTATATATAATTAACAAAACTGAGGATTCATTGCCGCAGTAAACGGGGATTTACCTTGTTGGCATTGGGAACAAGTTCCTGTAGGGCCTTCATTCTCTCTGCGATTCTCTCCCTTCTCAACTGCCACAAGCAACATATCCAACCAACTCAGAATAACAAAACGCTAATGTTTCTGCTTAACTGCCAGGGAACGAATAAAAAAAAAAAACGATTCTGTCCTATTATTGTGGACTTTCAGTTTCTTTATTTTCCTTTCTCGCTCATAATGTATAAACCCTAGCTATTGAGCAGTTGTCCAACTCATAATTTAATCACCTTATAAGAAAGTATAGATCATGGTTGAGAGTGGTTGAGTTGATGTAAACTTTTTTTACATGTATTCAAATCAATTAAAAAAATAAATAAAACCCTAACTATTGAGCTTCTTATTCAATCTGTCACTTAGCCATACTAGTTCTATTGAGTAATAATGGATTAGGATATTATTTACTATAAGCGATGACCTGAATTATTGGGCTCTATTTTCAGAGCACTAAACATGTTACTAAATGAAGCCAAAAATTAAATCCAGAAAGAACAACAGTAAGTACCCTTTCAGCGATGCTGTGTGGGTCCGTGGCTTGACCTCTCCTTGCACGAACCCTCTGCCTCGGCTGAGCCGGCGCGCCACTCGCCGGAGCTTGGTTCCCTGCGCCACCAAAATTTTGCCCCTGCATCGGATTCGAACTTCCCTGTAACTCAAATCAAACAATAAATTACTGTCTACAATTCACAATGAAACTAAACGACGGTGTATTGTTTTCTGAAAAATTATTGAGACAAACGCAAACCTGAGGATGTTGAAAATGTTGAGTCTGGTTCGAGGCTTGACCTGCGCCATGCAGAGATCCGGCGAAGCCGTTGTAGAGAGCCTGGACTGAAGTCTCACCACCCTATGAAAAGAAAAAGAAATTAGGTGTAAATAAATAAAGTTTAGAAAAAGGAAAGGGGAGGTTTACGGTTGCAGTGTAAGAGTGGTGTACGGGATTGGGGGATTTGAAAGAGGAGGCGTCAACGACGTCGTTTTGAGGTAAGGAAAGCGGGATGTGAAGGAGGGGAGAGTCTCTGGACATGAGGAGTTGGTGTTGGAGCATGAGAGCTGCGGCGGCGTTTTTGGTGTTGGAGGCGCTGATCTGGTGGTTGCGGAACTTGGAGGCCAAGGTGGATGGTTCGTCGTAGGGGAAAGCGACATTATTATTGCTAGTGTCGTTGTTGGTCGGCGTGGTTTCGTCGGAGAGGTCATTGGGGGGGTTGGAGTCCCACAAGGGCTTGTTTGGGTTGAGGTCAGGCCAGGAGCAGGAGGAGAGCATTTGCTCGAGAAAGTCATCGTGAGAGGTAGGGTCGAAGTGAGGGAGTTGTTGTTGGTGGTGGTGGTGTTGTTGTTGTTGTAGTTGTTGGTGGTGGTGGTGGTGGTTGTTGATGTGTGAATTTTGGATCTGGTTGGGGGTGGTGTGGAGGTCCTGGAGGGAGATTTGGGAAGAGTTTAAGAGGGAGTTGATTCCTTGCATTTCTCTGCTACAGGGCTGCATAGTTGTGAAAGAATGATGATGATGGGGACAAGGGTCTATCTGTGAGGTCAGGGTCGTTTAAAATGGGAACATTCATTCACTCAAGATCATAGAGGAAGTGGGAACGGGAAGAACATTGTGTTTCAGAGTTTTTCGGTTTCAGCCTTGAGGATCGGAAGCCAGTTATGTTTCTGTGTAGTGTGTATCCAATTTGTCTTTAGTTTCTTCTACTGGATATTTTTAAATAGGAGAAGATGAGTCCTCTCCTAACAAATTAATTAATTAAAGCAAATGAAGGGTTTTATTTCTTAATGCAGGGGCAGTTTTGACTACAATTTTTGCAATTTCTTCTGTCGTTGTCTCTACTTTTGTGTATCTAATTAGCTATTTTGTTACTGAATAATTTTTTTTAGCTCATAAATACATACGTCAAGGATAAACAAAATGGTTTGTATTAATAATGGTAGATGTGTATTATAATTGAAGATAAATATTAGTTAAAATAAAAAACAAAGTTATATTTATTTTATACAGTAATACAAATATTTAACCTTTTGTTTGGAGATATTATCAAAGGTTTTATAATATCATAGGTACCTAAGTTTATTTGATAATTAAGAAAAACGTGGAAAAAAAAAATAATGCAACACAGTTTATTATAATATGAACTTTTTTAATCTACAAGCTCTAAAAACACAATTAATTTTAAATACCAAATTATATGGTTAGAAAAATTACTAAGTCTAATAACAGAATCTGTTATTAGATTTTAAAAATTTGTTCCCAGTTGGTACATTTAATTGGTCAGGTAAACACTCTGTTAGAAAACTTTAGAATATAAGCACTAACTTCCAAGGTTATGACTCCTTCATTTGAAAACGTTATAGAGTGATTCCAAAGTGTGTATATTGAATGTTTTGGACTCAATTTTGGTCATGCTCAATCCATTTAGTAAAAATTACTCCACACCCACAATTGAAAACTTGATTTATCTGTTCCAAGTGGAAAAAGGGTATAAAAAATTTTGAAGATCTAAAATTTTCAGTAAGAATATTATGGAAACGCAACAAGTTCATTCAATACAATAACGCGACTATATTTGCTAATGTCTTATTTAAAATGTGGAGAAAAAATGGGTTTCCAACTAAAGTACAGCTTGAGTTTAAAAATTAATTTGCATGAAGTGGTCATAGATATATACATTCTCTCATTCATTGGTGAGAGATAGACAATGTCATTCCAAATGTATTACAATAAAAGGACAATAAAAAACATATCCAAGATTTGGGTTGGTTTTCATACCATAATTATGTATTACAATATCCCAGATTTGACATAAATGATACGATTATTTTTGTTTGTGTTTCCTTCTTATGAATGTCTTTGATATTTTGTTCTTTGAAACTGGAACAAGATTAGAGGACATGTGATACGAAAACAATTCCCCAAGAGTTAGTAGCTTGGTGGAGTTGATTCAGCAATCGTATCTCATTTGCAAATTGGATCAAAGTGTTCACCATGCCAAGTTCTTTGTATCAAAATATTTCGATCTCATTTCACATAACATGGAATATGGAATCCTACAAAAGTCGTGTTAAAATTTTGAAATAATTAATTAGTTTGCTATTATTCTATGCACGAAACTAGGGTTATAAAATCAATTCAATGCATAAGGGAACACATGCTGTATAATATATTCTCTCCATCACTGTATCTCATTGTTATTATTCTTATGATTATTATTATCATTATTGTCTGCTAGAAACTACCCAGAAAGCTTAAATTATTGACATTATTGCTGATTCAAGATTATAAAAATCTTTAATAACATTCTGTATTCAGTTACAGTTCAAATTTATAAACATGGAGCACACTAGTGTTATATCTATAGCCTTCACTTTTGTGAATGTATGCATTGAATTATCTTTACGTCGCCAGAATCTGCAGGTTTCTTTCTCAATGAGTAATTAATGCCGTATAACTAAAAAAAAAAATTAGAAGTAATTAATAATTTATTTTCGTCTTGTAAATATAATAATGAAGTAGCCATTTCATGTGTAAGAAACTCGTATCAAACCATTGAGATAACCATTTGAGTTATATCAATAGCCCTAGCACTAAATCAACTTTTCATAAACATAATTATTAAATTGCGAAAGAAAATACAAATGATATTTTAAAATTTAAACGAATAGATTAATAATAATGTATTTTTTCGATGAACTTTCATATAATATTATTTAATAATAAATAATTATTTTAATTTTCAATCTATTAAAACCATTAAACTGTCATATTATATATATATATATATATATATATATTATAATAATTTTTTAATTGAATCAATAATTATAAAAATGCAATAAATATATAATTAAATTCAAAATATTGTTAGCTAGTTCCTGTGTAGGAAGTCTCTCCTAATTTAAAGGGATGTTACAATTTTTAATGTTTCATATATTATTTCTGTTTAATTATGTTTTTAATTGGAGAAAAATTTTATATTCGTCTTAGATTAAAACATTCAGCTTAATTCTTTAAATTTAATAAAACATAATTTTAGTTCATTGGATTAAAAATAATTTTAAAAATTCATATTAGTTCATCAAATTCATAATTTAGAGATTCAAAGTATATTATTTTTTAAATTTAAAGCACTAGCATAAATGTTTTAAAATTTAGAAATTAAAATTATAATTATTCTCAATTGCAAGAACTAAAAATATAACTAAATCTATTATTCAAAAGTAAATATCATTACATTTTATGTTAATACCATGTTATGTCAGTCACATTATGAACAAATAAATTTTAGGTTTTTAATATAATATTCTACTTATTATTTAATAAAAAAATTAACATAGTAGTTAATAAATTATAAAAATTTATTAGTCTTTGGAAAAAATATTTATTGGTATTTCATCCATATTATTATGTTGACTTTTTCAAGTAATTCTTAAAGTATGTTTAGATTTTATTTAATATATATTTGCAAGAGAAAGGATAAATAGTTTTAAGAAATTAATTTTAATTTTAAATTAAATTAAAACTTTTATATAATTTGAATAAAATGGAAGACTAGTTAAAAAAATGGTAGGAAGACCAATGTTCCAGTATTAGTTAACGTAGGAAAAGCCGAAAAACAGTATATATATTTACGTCACTTCTTCTTCCTTAAATATTGCATTTTGGTTAACTCTAATGATATGATCTTGGACAAAACTTTTAAATACAAATTCAAAAAAGTGAAATATTTTTTTTATATAAGTCAATTTGTGAAAGTTACTAAGTGTCATTTTCTTTAAAATCTAATTTTTAGTTAATGTATAAACTAATTTTGACTTATAAAAAACTGATTTAATGTTTTACTTTTTTATAATTTTAAAAAAGTTGATAGAAAATTTTCTTTAAACACATAGGATTGAACTTTCTTTGTCGAGAGCCAAACATGCAGGGTAGGTTAAGAAGAAGAAGTTAATAATTGTTCAATGGAGTGACCCACTTGTTTTAAATATTTCATGATTGTTGGATAAAGTTACTTTTCCTTTCTGCCTTTTCAAACATATTTTGTTACGTGAAAAATTAGCCATATTCAAGAGATTATCATGTTTGAATAAAATAATTTTTTTTTTATGTAATAAACAAAGTTTAAGATTTGCTCAAACCCTGTCTTTCACGTGCCATTTACTTGTTTAAATCATTAGTTTTTTTTTTTTTTTCTAGACTGAGACATTTCTAATTTATATATAAATTAATATCATAATAAACATTATTAACAATTTATGAGATTTTAAAAATATATATTTAAAAGTTTTTTAAACATATTAATGAGAATTAAGTGAGTGGACATAAACAGAAATAATTATATGAAATATATTTAAAATTAATATAGAAATAGATAGGAAGATTTAATTATTTTAATTAAAATTCTAATTATATTTTGAAATATGTTTATAATAATTACAAATAATTATTAAATAAAAACAAATTGATACAATTTATTAGTGTAAAATGATGAAAATGAAATTGTAGAAAACCAGTAGAGAGTTCAGAGGCTAAAGCTATTTTTGTAATTTTAATAAGTCTATTTTTGTTATAAATATTTTATTTTGAGGGTACAAAAATTGAAAAAAATCAATTAACTAGCATAAAAGTTATTGACTAACATCTTTCAATAAATATAATTAAAAACACAACAACCATATAAACATTCTAATTAGTAGTCACTCCAGATTTCTTAAAACAAATTACTAAACTCATAATAAATATTTCCTATATGTCTTGAATATTCTCTTTTGTATTTAATACAATTTCTAAACAACTCATTCAATATAATTACTAGTAAAACGCATATCTTTAACAATTAAAAAAATATATAAAAAAAATAATAAATAACGTACATAATATCACTAAACAACTCTTTGATAAATATATTTATATTTATAATGGATGGTAAAATACGAATGAATATAAAGAGAAGATAATTTGTTTATTATATATATATATATAATAAAAAAATAACCATAGCATTATAACATGTTATTTTTTTAAAACAATTTAATATAGATAAAAATAATAATTCTCTAACTTCTTTTAATTAGAAATATTAATTAATAAATTTAAAAAAATGTGTATACATATATAATAAGAAACTTTGCTTTCATTGAGAGTCGAACTCAAGACCTCCCGCTTACTAAACGGGTGCTCTAACCAACTGAGCTATGAAAGCTCTTGATCTATGTTTTAAGCATATATTATATATTTGTTTATATAGGTTAAACAAATCTTCAAATTTTTAATGGTAGAACCGTAAGAATTGGAAAACGTGGTTGAAAGCAATCCTTCAGTAGGGTAGATCACTTTAAACATTTTGTTTTCCATTTAATTATAAATATTTTACATATGAATGATTAAAACAAAACTATGCTAATAACACCAAATTTTTTTATACAAATGATTTTTAAAGTTTTTTTATCCCAAATAAACAAAACCTCTTTTGCTCAAACCTAAAAATTCATTCAATTTGTTCCTAGACAAGAATGGATGAAGTCTATCCATCTACAATTGCTTTGAAATTCGTTCAATGGGTAACCTATATATCTTATTGTGGAAGAAATTATTTGTATTTTTAATTGGAAACATGAATATTTATAGGACAATCAAATAATTTAGAAGAGACTATTTCATATATAGCATTTTTATTTTATTATTACCATTGTTATTTGAATAATGATCAAGAAGATGACAATAATAAAAAAAATGGGAAAAGGTAATTCATCTAATGTTGCATCTAATGTTACTGAAACATAATAATAAGAACATAATTATTGATTTGACTTTGATAATTTAATTACTTTATTTTGAAATTATATTGATAATTAATATGGTTTAACTTGTGTTACTTTAATATTTTATGGGGCAATGTATCTTGTTAGTACCAAAAAATGTAAAGAAAAAACTTGAACGAAAATATTTAATGTATTAAGAATTCGATTTGAAAAAAAAATTGCATACCTAATTTAGTTGTGATATTTTTTAACATAAAATTGTTATTTGTTAAAAAGAGAATGGTTCTATATACAATTGCTAATAAAAGAATATTTAAAAGGACAACGACAATATATGTGTTTGATGATTTTAATAAAAATTGGTTTTTATGTATTAATTTTTCTTGGATACTGCTAATTTTTAATTTTTTAAAACTAAATGTATTTTTATACATTATAATTGTTAAGTTTCTTCTAAAGTCTTTATTCCATATTGTTAGGTCATGGAATCAATAATAAATATTCAACTAGTTATTAGTCATGCTGAAAACCTTTGTGTGAGGAAAACAAACTCTTAGGAGCACTAATTGTTGAGCACTGTTTACTCAAGTAACTCACAACAATCAATTCAAGGACACCACCAAGTAATAATATTGTTGATCTTCAACTGGAAATATTTACATGATCTCCCTACCCTTCTGTTGTAGCACAGTTGTGCAAGCAATCTCACCAGCAAAATTTATGTAGTAGGTTACCTGAAATAGAAGATGCATTAGTTCAGCTTTTGAAAAAAATATTGGATCCACATGATTAAACCAGCAGTATATTGTATGTAAGACACAAATTTTGTGCAACATCTACTTTAATGTACTACTAAGAGTTAAAAGCTATGTAAAAAATAACTCAGAATAGTTGAGATAAGTGAAACAAAAAAATATCCAAATCTTCTAGTTTTTGTTTACAGAAAAAATGAATGAATCGTAATTGCCCACAACTCACAATTTGCACTGAGCTCACTTGGTGAAGAAGGAATCCATTAGCCAATTCTCTACAAGTTTGGAAACATATATAAAACAAGATTTCATAAGCTTGGTAACATAAGTTGAGGAAGGCACAAAAACTGGGACTGATAATGAATGCATTTACCTTTTAATGACAGAATTTCCATTTAGAAAAACTGAATAGGGTTCTGTTTCAATTGGGGCAGGATTGCCAATATAAGCAACACTGTCATCAATGTCATGACTAGTGCAATCTTGCCCACTTATGTACACATTCTGAGGAGTAAATACAAGGATGGATCTTGGTCAAAATCAGTTCAGTCATCATATCAAAACCACAGTATGTCAAAATTTGATTTGTGCTTACAACTGAAAATTTTAGTAATAGCCGGTGAAAATGAGAGAAAACTTGCTTTTTCTTCAATTGTTCCTTTTTCTCTCCACAAATGACCAATGGTTGGTATCCAACAACAATGCGCCTGGTTGCAAATTGTTATATTTTTCAACATAGTTCTCTTGGATTATTACAAAGTCAGACTGAAAAAGAAAAGTTTATTGCCAATACTGATCATACCAGTTGCTACTGTTTCCTGCCAGTGTTTTATTCAGCCAATACAATTGATTGCTTCTGTTGCCACTTAATGATCCCCTCAACACAGCATCCTTCAATATCAGTAAAGAAAACAAATGAGCACAAGGTGAATGCAGCTAGATGGTATTAGACTCAAACAAATGATAGGAATAGGTGGACAAAAAATGAGATGGAGCCATGTTTGGTGAAGCAGATGAACAATGAAAATAAGAAAGTGAGTAGCAAAGAAACAACATTAATACTCAATCTCAACATTTTCAGCATGTCAAACTGAGTGACATCTCAGTATGGATCAAAATCTAGGACAGTGAGTAGCAAAGAAATGTAGCATTTGACATAATTAATAACAATATAAATTCTAACCGATTCTCAGATTCTAGAAAGTTAAAATGGTAATAAGAAAAGGAGCCAGAACAATCCCCATCCTGTTCCTTTAAGTCCTCTGGCATTGACATGTTTGTAATCCGAGTTAATGTTTTCTATACTACTTGATATGACAACAAAGGAAACAATGAATTAGCGTGTTTATAAAATCTTATCAACTCCTTGTGCATAAGCTAATTTTATCTTATGAAGAAGTTCATTTTATTTTTTTCTTTTAGAGGAGAGGCTTGTCTAAACATACCTATGAATAGTGGACATAAATATTTTCATTCAACAAGTAAATACATACTTGCAATAATTCAGTATCCACACCGATGAGTTCTATGGTTATCCCGTTAGATGTCTGTATCTTCTTTGCGAAGTACCCTAAGTCTTGCCCTTTTGGTTTTGAAGATGTAGTAGTAGTGTACCTGCAAACTAAGTCTCTTCATAACTATCCCAACTAGCATAACGGCAAATGATGGTTATTTTTCAAACAATCTATTGCAAATCAATGCTTTGTAACAACAACATTTCCATGTAATGCAAATGTACCAATACAAAGATAACAGACAGTTCAGAATGCAGTATACCAGGGTAGTCTCAATGACCGAAAATGTTGAGTAGCCTGTAAAAGAATACGCCATTGCTCATAATTCATAGCAATTAAAAACAAAAGTGTGTCAAAACAAAAAGGTTAGAAAGTGTCTTACTCTGAGAAATCTATTTCTACCACCACTGTTTATCAATTCAGTAAAATCTGAAAGAGAATAGTCCACAAGAGAAACTACATACAAAAACAAAATGAACGTACATTTTGCATGAGTGGATCATATTCCCCTAGCTCACTGCTGCTCACAATAAAACTTGGCTTGTAAGCTCTTGCTACCTTCCCCATCTTCATCAACATTTAAAATAGAGAAAGTAAGAAAAAAAAATGAGAGTAAGTAAAAAACTAGTACACTCAAGAAACCATATCTATTTCCAACAACTAATGTGGAGAACAAGGTTCTTTCAAACCATAAAGAAAATTGATTGAGCATGAAAAAGAAAAACAGTTGACAATACCCACAAAGAAGAAAACCATGAAAAAAGCAAACAAGATTTAACAACCAAAAAACAAATTGTTGGGTTAACCAAAAGAGAGCAGAAAAGGGACCTGCTTGAGAAGATCGAATTGTTGGGTAAATGGTCTGAAACCCCCTTTGACACTGATGAAGTAAAGATCAGAAGTTTCACTTATGTTTACCAAAGCCTGAGGGTGACCCAAGTTGAGAGCTATGTACAGAGAAGAGCAGAGACACACCTGGGTGACAACAGTGCACGCCCAGGAGGATGTTTTCTCCATTATTAGCACTTTTCCAACCAAGTTAGAACCTCTTCTCTTGGCGAATATCAGATCACAAATACATCAAATCAGCATAGGAGGGTTCATTAATATAATCATAATCATGGGACCGTGTTGCAGTTGTGCACATGATTGACGAAGTTCAAATTGTTCCCACTGTTATAGATTAACCTCTAAAATGTCCATATTTAGTTTAGTTTACCGAGTTATGTTAAAGAATGATTGTGGCAGGATAATAGTTTTTAGTTTGGTTTATTTATACTTTTTTGGAACAAGCATTGTACGGTCCGAGGTAAATCAACCGAGCGGTTAAGTATGTAAAATAATACTTTTTTTTTCAAAGTAAAATTTTACACTGGTTTTGTTATAATTGGTTTGCATATATTAAATAATAACGAAATTATAAAAAAAATACTAAATTATACCATAAAACTGCGTGCATATAAATTAATTATAAAAAAAATTGTATTTATCAGTTTGATTGAGGTTCATTATATTTGTAAATTGTAATTTTAATAATTAAATAATATTTCGTTATATTTAATTAGTTGGATTTGGATTTCATCAAGTTAATTATTTTAATTATAACATTTTCGATGAAAGACTTCGCCAGAAATTTTAATATAAAATTATAAATTATTTTAATAAAAATATTTTATGTGACTAATATTTTTTATTTTTAAGAATTTGTTCTTAATTTTGAGAAGTTAATTATTTTACAACATTATGTTTATTTTTTTAATTTAATTTAGTTTATTGTTTTGACCAAATTGATACAATCAGTAAATACTTATTAAAATAATGTGTGGTTATATAAATAAAGTCTTTAAAATTTTTATATTATTATAGATAATGATAAAGATATGTTTGAGTGAAGGAGAATGGTATATTTTTCATTATAATTTGATATGGTCATTTTAATCTTTATTTGATTCCAAATTTAACTCTTGGTTAATCTTAAATCCTAAAAAATTATCGATTCAAACTTAGTTTGATTCTTGATTATATTTGTTGGATAATGATGCTGTGGGTTAAAGGCAACAATGGAAGAAAGGTTGAAGATAACCTCAAGTTGAATAATAATAATAATAATAATAAAAGATTTTGGGGTGTATGAGAAAAGCAACGAGAGTGGTAGTGTTTTTATGGCTATGGTCAAGCAAGATGAATAAGGTTTCATCAAGAGAATATAAGAGAGGTTATGGTGTTTCTTTTGGGTTTTTTTGGATAAAAAAATAATTTAGTACGGTGAAAATGGTGGTCGCTTAAGGTGGTGTAGAAAAAAAAAATGCAGAACTGATATGGTGTGCAAGAAAGATGGATTAGATGATGATGAAAAGAATGACTAAAAAATGAAATGAAAAATTCCAATTATCAAAGATTAAAAAAAAATTCATAAATAAAATGATCAAACTTTTCTTGAACAACACCAAATAACTTATTGATTTGAACCTCTATAGGTCATGAGGTTAGCCACAATTATAACAAATTATATAGTCAAACATATAATTAACTTAACAAATTTTTTAAACTTTTTTTTACAAACTTAATAGTTTTATAAAAATATAGTTAAAAAAAAAATCACTCATTTTTCCACCTCAATTAACCCACAAGGCAACATATTTCTATATGAAATAAAAGTTTAACTAATGAGAGTTATAAATTTTAAAGAAGATGCAACGTAAAAACTTAATGTGTCAATTATTTAGAAGTCATCTAAAACTGACCATTTTAATGAGGTTTTGTTTATCGTCAACATGTTTGAAAAATTATCTAATAACACTTACACTAACATTTAAAACAACTGGTTCTAAGTTGCTCATCTAACTCTAATAATATCTAACTCCAAATAGTTCATGTAACATCTTACTCCTAATAGTCCATCTAATAAACTTGTCTATTAGTATTACATCTTATGAATTTGTCTAGTAAGCTAGTTCATTGAGATCATATGAAAATACTTTGAGAATTTTTAGGATTTTATCTATGTATATTTCTAATATATGAAATATAGTATTTCGTTCATGTACTCTATCTAAGTATAAAATAAAAATATGACAAAATATTAATAATATCTTAATCATAACTGTCTAAATCAAAAAAATAACTTAATATTTTTTTTATTTTATTCTCTTAAAAGATAATAAAATCTCTTAATACCTAATAAAAAATAATAAAATAATATTTTTAACTATATTTTAACTTATAATAAGACAACTTGTCTAATATATATGATTACTAATTTGTCTGATAACAAAGTTTAACCTGGTCATCTAATATTTCAATTTTATCTTATGTAACAATGACAACACATTATTGAAATAGATGCACACACAACTATCAAAGTTGTTACTTCAACCAAAATCTAAACATAAATTATTAAAGTCTAAGTAATGCAAATTTGTTCAACCTAACCTAATTTATTTTAGTTTGATGTAAGCTAGGATTGACATATGAATAAACAAAATACACATTAACTTATAATTTTATCAAAATTTACATTCATGATTTATAGAGATAATGAAAAATGTGGACTCATTCACGTTCATTTAATAAAAAATGAACTTGTTGATCTTTGTTTTATAAGTAAGATTTAAAGAATATTGAGATTTTTGTTATTGAGAAAAACTTCATGTAGAAAAATGAGAGTAATTTGATTGAAGAAAAGGTTAATTTATTGATTCGCGTTATCATCTACTAAAATTTTCAACAAACCAAAATCTGGACCTTATGTATCAGGATTATAGCGGAACCCTTGAGATAAAAAATGAATGCACCATAATAGACAAGGAACATCAATCATAATTTTTTTATCAAACTAATTTTTCACTTAAGATTTCACATAATAGCTTTGCATCCAACTCATGAACAAAGCAAGGCAGCGAACAAAACATGTTTTACCAAGATTGCACAACCAATTCAATTTGAACCAATGCTTGCGACTGCGACAAAGTCGGTTACTTGAACTAAACACAACCACACTCCAATTTTTAGACACTTGTGAGTTGAATTAAATCAATTCTTCATTTTCACCGAATAACACCTTGCTTCAAATCAACGAAATTTATAGGATAAATGAATGTAATTAAGAGATTCGTCAATTCAAATTCAAATATACTGCTATTTCTTTAATTAATGAAGTCAATTCAATTAAGTGAAATTTTTCATTCATATTCTTTTTTATCAACAGAATTTTATAAAACTCTTGGACTCCAACGAGTATCCTACTTCCCCCAAAATTTTATTAAATCGCACTGCCAATTCCAACGTTTGACTAACCTTCACCTACTCAAATGTTTAGCAGCAAATTATTTCAACACTGCTGCTTGCTTCAAGTTAAATCAACTCGCACGGATTCTGCTACTTCAATGGCTCTGCTCTGGTCCAAAACTGAATCACCGCTTGCTTGAAATCACGTGAAATCAATTGCACCGCTTCTCATTATACCATATATTGGAATACATGATAGCAAACGATAAACCACAAATTTTAACTTGTTGCATGGCTTGATTCTTCACGACTTTGATGCACCTGAAAACATTGATTCATTCCAACGAAATGGATCCGCTAGAAATTGCTTTCACATATTGTGATGCTTGCACGAGCTGATATACTCATGAGTCACGCTCCAATGCTTGCGCTATTATCGCGTTCAACAAACCAACAATGTTCACCTCAATCTCACTTGAAACAAAACTCATTGATTATATGTTCTTAACCACATAATAATATTTCGATTCATTTTTAACAAATTTTACCAAACAATTAAAGAAAATATACAATTTCTTATACTATAATCTACCTTTCTTAACTCCTTTAGCATTTCCCATTCCTTGTGTTTACACACAACAATTATCCATGATATCATTACAATCATACAATAAAGCATTCTCATGTTCGGTGCTCTCTATTGACCTATGACTACTACAAATTTCTCGGAGTAGGTAGGTGAGAAACACAGTGCATGACATGTTTTATAGGAAAACAGAGAATTTAATTTATTTAAACAAGAAGGAATGCCTTGTAGAATCTTATTTGGTGCAGGGCGGAAGTGGAGAGCCACAGAGCTTAGTGTGAAAATACGCATATTGATCGAATCTTTGCAATTCCCCACCCTGCGGGATTTGACCACTTAACTGAGGATTGTAGCTCACGTTGAAATGCTGCAAGTTTTCAACTTTGGTTAACGCCGCTGGAATGCTCCCATAAATCTTGTTGTGATTGAGATCCAACCAGATCAAGCTTTTCTTGGGAAAGGTCAAATGAGAGAGATCAAAGGAGAACTTGTTCCTGGAAAGGTCGAGTATCTGGGTCGTTTTCTTGCTCCCGAAAAGCACGGAAGCATCGCCTTCGAGCTTGTTCCTTGAAAAGTCTATCCTTTCCGGGTCTAAGTTGCCCAAGGAAGAAGGAATAGGCCCGGAAAGCTGGTTGTGAGATAGGATGAGATCAGGCCCGGGCTTCTTGAAGGATCCGAAAGAGGCCGGGATCGGGCCCGTGAGTTTGTTCCGGTCCAACTGTAGGGAGGAGAGATTAGGCAGCTGGGAAAGTGAGGTGGGAATGGTGCCGGAGAGGCTGTTAAAGGAGAGTTTGATCAATTCGAGGTTCTTGAGCTGTGCAAGGAAGTCGGGTACTGGTCCTGAGATTCCAGTGTTGGTGATGATGAGATATTTGAGTTTGGTGAGTTTGGCGATGGTGGGCTGAATTGGGCCGACGAGGTTGGGGAGCTTGTGGAAGGTGAGGTCTTCGAGGTAAGGGAGGTCACCAACCGAGGGTGGTATTTGGCCGGAGAGATTGGTGTCTGGAAAAGAGGACACTAGAAAGAGCTTGTAGATGCGGTTCGTTGTGTCGTCACACTCGACGCAGTACCAGGTGCAGCAATCCTCCTTTGGGTTCCAGGAAGCTAAGAAATAAGGGTTGTTGAGTTCCTTCTTGAATTGGAGGAGCACCTTCTTGTCATGTGGGTGGCACTGCTCAGAGAATGCAACTGGAAATGGGCACAAGAGAAGGACGCACAGTCCCAACATCATTAACATGCTTCCCATTTTGCTTTTGCTTTTGAACAGAGTACGCCAGCTTCACCGACGTGTTTCTCATTCTTTCAATTTATAGAACAAATTGCACATTTCCAGTAACGTTTTCCATATTGGAATTAGGAAAATGTTACGCATAGAGGTTCTGTGCCAAACATCCACCCATCTCATAATTTTATATTTTTATTTTAAACATAATACATTAGTTTTACATTAAAAAATAAGAAATAAGATAGTTTTCATTCTTTAAAAATTTAATTTTACTTAAACTATCATTTATCTTTATATTATATAACACAAGTTAACTATTTATACATTCAACGAAAAATCAAATAATTATTTCACAAAAGCATTCTGGAAGACGATATTATAATCCTTTTAAAAATTTTAAATTAAAAATAATATATTGTCTTAAAACCCAGAAATGGGCTAAAATAATGAAATTTATTTTATTTATTTTTAAAATGGGTAAATTTTTAAATTTTTTCTAAATAATTCGTAATTTGATACACGATTTCACAATCAGAAAGTTGTGGGAAGACGACTTTCATTAAAATTGTATATGATATGAAAGTGGTACATGAATATATGATTTTTTCAATACTAAATCGTGTATGATTGCATGACTTCCTCAATGTAATAATTTTTATAATGAACAATTTTAATATAATTTTTTAAAACATTGAAATTGCTAATTAATTGATACTTTTTGTTTAATTTTCTTTTTTTTTTATTGAAGTTATCAATTGATCGACTATTTCAATTTAACTTTTTTTATATTAAAGTTGATAATACTTTTTTATTCTGAAGTAACTAATTTTAGTTTTTATTTATTTTATTGTGAATGTTATTTATTAGTTTTCTTAATTATTATCGATATAAATTTGTATTAAGAACAAATTTGTGACCTAAATAATGAAATAAAAAATTTTTATTAGATGAAATTGTAATTAAAATTATTCAGAGTCACACCACTGGTTATTTACGAGTTATTCATCTCTTTCATTTTTATTTAATATGTAATTTCAAATATATTTAAATTTTGAATAATCTAAATCTACTATAAGACGAATTATAAGTTCCGATACCACTATTATGTATTATTAAGATAAACAACAATAACAAGATATAAACTCAACTCACATAAGATAATAACACTAATTTCAACAAAAAAAATACCTAAAGGTATTAAGTTATATGTTTTTCCTCACTTATAAATTATTATTTTTTTCACATTTTTATCCATTATGAGATTTCAAATATACTTAAATCCTTAATATATTGTTCATTATCTCTAAGCAAGTTAGTAATCTTATCTAGATAATGATATTTTACTCATAATATGCACTATACTTTGATATCTCGTTCAACAAACTACAATTTTTTTTTAATATGGATTTTAGGAGAGCACCATGCAATAATAAAAATTTATATGATTAATAAATATGTCTACTAAATAAAATTAAAAGAGATAATATATAATAATAATAAAGTATATTAATATTTTCATTTCAATAATTTAATATATTTTAAAATTATTTAATATTATTATATCTAAATAATAATTAATTATTTTAATAAATATTAAAATCAAATTTTTAGTAAATAAAAATAAAAAAATTAATTTAAAATCTATGAATTAAAATCATTAATCAATTAAGAATTCCAATAAAAAAATTTAACTAAAATCACCTATCAAACTTTAGTATTAACAAAAATATTTAATTATAATAGTCGTTAAAAAGTAATTTCAATAAGAAAAAATCTATTACAATTGTGTGTATTCAAATAAAAAAAATATATCTATTACAATAATTTAAAAAAATAAAAATGACCTTTTACAATTAATTTTTTTGATATAAAATTGTATCTGAAAGCACGAATTTCTTATAATCAGAATTTTTAAAAATAATTAAAGCAGAATATAATAATATAGGAAATTGACAAATAATAGGTAAGGACCTCAACGTTAGTTATATTAAGAAAATTTACAAGAAATAACGGTGGGGATTTTTAAAGTGTGCATATACAGCCACAACTTTTCTATTGCTTATCTGTATCCAACTACTTTCATACAAACACATGGAATCACTGAATTTCGGTCTTCCAAACTTGAAAGGGACCGATCATGATTTCTTCTCGGTGTCCTAAAAAGTATTTACTGGTTTTTAAAATTTGTTCATTAATTCATATCAACGTTTTGTATGGGGAGAAGGAATTTGTGTGGAGTGCAGGAGACAAAACCTTCTCTGCATACTGCACATCTTTTCTTCATTTCTTGGACTCCTCTGGGCCTTCAACTTATCCTTCACGCTAGTCTGAAGCAGAATAAATGAAAAACAAGTACAGGATTCCCACCACACATCCCTGTTTCCTCCCCTTATCCACATCGCAAAACAAGCTCAAAAAGCATCGTAAACACATTATTTCTTCTTTCAAACTGGGGCATCATTCATTTTGTATCCAATAAGTTGTAACAATCATAAAATTAAGAGTATTTCAATAATATTATTAAGATTCATTTTTATATTTAAAATATTATATTTTAATGCTTTTTTCTATCTGATTCTGTGTTTAAAATACTATTTAATAAATAAAAAATGAATAATATATATACATTATTTTTTATTTTCACTTTAAATCTAAATAATAGAAAGAATCATCGACCAATCGGAACGTAACTCTTATTTTTTTTATTAGTCAAAATTTATGTTATTAAAACTCAGTTTAGTATCTTTTTTATTTTTTTATAAAAAAAATATTAAAGAAAAGAATTCACTCACCTATTTCAACGTTGAAGAACAGGTCATTTATCTCAGCAGCTAGCTGCATAGTATTCCGTTGTTTTCTTCTTTAGCATTAAATATATATAACACATTTTAATAATAAACAGTAAATATACAAATTTAAATTTTATTATTATTATATGAAAAAAAGAGTGGTCAATGGATTTTTTTTCTATTATTTTTAATATGTTTTTATATTTTTAAATTAATGTATTTTTTTGATAAAAAATGATATAATTTTAATAAAATTATTTCGTAAAATAATTTTAATAATGGGCGATATAGTCTTAAACTACACGCACAGTGGAAGGAAGTTTTGATTATTGTGGGTGCATTTATGGTAGCCGACATGCGCCCACTTGCATACCACTTTAATTCCAATATGGAAAACGTGACCGAACTTAAATAATGAGCTATAGAAGGGATATTACAGATATTTTAAGAGTATTATATTATAATAATATGATTATTTATATTTATAATTATATAATATTTTAAAAAAATTATTTTCGAGTCTTTTTAATACATCCAAGTACGAAGAAAAAAATTCAATAATCAAATTACTTGTATTTTAGATAACATTACCTCTATTATTAAAATTTATAAATTATTTATTTATATTTAATAATCGTTATTTAATTGACAATTTTACTTCATATATTTTTAAGTTAAATTTTTATTTTTAATTATTAAAAGTTTGTTTTAATATTTATAAAACTAATAAAATAAATAATTAGTTATTATTTAAATGTTAATATTATATTTTTCAAAAAATATTAATATGTTAACAAGAAATATATAAATATAAAAAGAATTTACATTTTTATTATTGAAATAGATAATTATCACAATAATAAATGAATATTTCTGATTGCAGATAATGAAAAATATCTAACAAAACTTTTAAAATAAATTTAATAAGATAAATATTATATTCACTCGAATATTTAATTAATATAGTTTTATTATAGTATTTATCTTTAAAAAATATTTTAAATCATTAAAACTAATTGTGATAGATGATGTAATTAATTTAATATTATTAAATCGATTTAACAAAGTAAAATTGTAGTTAATTTTTATAAAAAGTTGATTTTATCAATGTAAAATTTTATTAAATTTTTATTTTGGAGATAAAAAATTTCACATCACTAACCCACACAAACAACACTGAGAACATCGATAAGAAAAGTACAGAATATGATCATAAGAATTGTCTAAATATACATTAATTCAGAGCTTTTGGTACAAAACGATGATAAGTACTGTGACTGAACTTACTTGGAAGTTTGAAAGTAATTGTCTAAAACTCATTTTAACCTCATTTAATGGATTAATTTGTACGTAATTGATTAAAGTAGAAAATATATTGTTTCAATTATAGCTAATTTTTTCTTATTTAATTACAAGACAAATGTAATCAATTAATTCATATGAATTATATTCTTGCATCTTATACATTTTGGTTACAAAAACTTTGTAATCTATAAGACAAATAAATTAACTTATACTAGACAAGCTTATGTAATCATTTAAAACAATTTGTAATTGATTAAATTCATTTATAATTTTTTACATAGGACAGTTTTCCTTTTCAGAAGATACTATTAACTAATGTTTTGATCCATTATAATGGTGTGAATTGATTTTCTTCTTCTTCAAGAATAAAACGCTTATGTAATTGGTTACGAGATTAATATAATCAACTATTATTATTTATCAATCATGTGAAGAATAGTATCTTGGAAAATCTACTTCATAGCTTTGAAGTTCATCACAAAAAAAATATTTGAAGTTAAGAAATATGTTTTTCATAACCTCTAAGATCGCAAGCCTAAGCTATACTTACTTTTGTAATGTTTAGCACATGAAAAGACAATCATATTCAATATTACTTTAACTTTAACAACTTTAGTTTAGCTACATCTTCATATACTTAAAAGGCTTCTAACCTAGTTCTCTTTAGTCCTTCCTTTCAAGTATTTCGTTCAATGAGAAAATAATTTCTCCTATTATTTTGTTTTAGTTATAATTGACCTTCATATATTATAAGATTAATGGTTTTAGTATGCTTATGAGTCTCGTATATTTTGTTTAAGAATGATAATGTTATAGTTTTATATTTTTTATGATAACATTATTAAGATTTCTATTACCACGTTTAAGGTATTGTCCGCTTTAAAATTTTAATTCGTTATAATTTTGTCCTTTAAAGATGTCTTGATA